ATGAAAGATATAACACTTTGGTTGTCTATACGATAGATTTTTTTTGTTTTTGGGATAAGTAAACAGGGAAAAGGCCCTCTACCCATTTTCTATTAAAAATAGAGTGGAAAAAAATACAAGTTCAATCGAGTATAATCATCTATGTAGCATAAAAAATTACGGAAAATTATAGATGCCCCTATTGAACTTTCTTATCAACCTTCCCAAACAATTTTTTATAGCAACTTTTATCCCAAAACATACTTTTCTAGTAAATACCCCAAGTAAAAAATAAAATAAAATAAAAACCAAAATGCCTTCTCCTTAATTAAAATCCCTCTCTCCGCTCTTTCCTTTCCGGCGAAAGGAAAAATGGTCCGGCACTTCCAACTCCAGTCCGGTATTGTACTCTCTGTCGTCATAGTGTGCACGCGATCAAACACAAGGTGCCCATGGTCAAGCAAATACCCAATGCCGTCATAGTGTGCACGGCGATCAAGCACAAGGTGCCCATGGTCAAGCAAATACCCAATGCAATCCAACAGTTATTTTACCTCGGTTCGGAACAAAATGACATCGGTCCAACACTGTTTTACCTCGGTCTGGCATATTGTTTACTCGATATGGTCTATGCGCAATGGGGTTCGACAATGGTTTTATTGTACTGGTCCGGCAGTTTTTTTTTACTACGGGCCAACAATTAACCTTTTGTCATTGCGCATACTTGGAGGATGCGACTCGACCTTGTATGATTTTTGTCCAAATAACTACTATTTTTTTACTTGGGGGTATTTGTTAGAAAAATATGTTTTGGGATAAAAATTATAATTAAAAAATTGGTTGGAGAGAGGTTGCTAAAAAGTTCAATCTCACTCCATTTTAGTTTTCATTCTTCTTGAATTCGAAGTTTTTCTTTCTTGCATTCAACCACAAGCCCATGCACTTCCAGTAGAAATGAACAAATCCTAGTTTTGGACCTTATGTGGATACACATAATTTGGATTTCGGGGTGAATATGCATCCAAAATGTCCTACCGTGTCTCCTATCCTTACTGGACACTGATCACCCATGAACTATCATATACAGACGAAGAAATGTCATTTTCTTTTTTCATTATCTTTCTTTTTTTCTTTGAGTTCAAGGTTTTTTAGTTTCTTTCAACGACTTCAAAGCTTTACCATATAGATTAGGAGTCATTGTATAATGTTTATCACACATGAAATAAAAGTTAAAAATATTTATTGTATTTTATGTGTGCTTTAGCACACAGTCTTTTCTTTACTGTATTTACTAGTTTTGTTAATAAACGCAGTTGGGTTACTAAGTCGCAACAAAGGCCAACGTCCATTTGAGCCATGGGGTCTCAAATTATATACAAATAATTCTATGATAAAGTTTCATATTTAACCAGTTATTTCTAATAACTGCTCAAAGATTTGATTTTTTTCTTTTGGCCCTTTCTTATTTAGCGTGTGACACTATTTATTTGTTTAAATTAATGTGTGATTGGTCGTGATTCATGCCTTCTCCTTTTTCCCACCCAACAATTTTATGGGGGCATGCGTGCAATTGGTCCACCTCGTTGAAACTTTCATATGCATCCAAACATCTTTGTGAGGTGTTCTGGGTGCGTCAGCCCAAGAACCTACTGTCCTCCAGATATTTAGTCAATGGTCTCGACAGCTTAAAAAAAAAGAAAAAAGGAATTTTGAATTTCAAAAAATAAATATTATTTATTAAAATTAGGTTGCAGTATTTTATATTATTTATTTAAAAAAAAGGTATACAATGAGATCATTTATCTTTGGTCCAAGGTGATCACAATTAATCTTAACCATTGGAAATGGTTAAGATTAGCCCACTAGCTCATATGAATATATGAACCCAATGGTCCAGATTTAATTTAATAAATGAATAAACAATAATAGTAATCCATTAACAGTAGTAATAAAGATATTCGTTAATTATTCTGTAAGTTCAAAATATATTGATGTAATTGTAAAATAGGACATAATATTATAGAAAATTTGTTTCATTTCAAATCTAAATTTATTGAGTGGGGTTCTCGGAGGTAAGATTGGTTTTGAGCAAGAGAAGAGAAAAAGAAGGGAGTTGACTAATGGATGGGTTTGGCATATTGTAAAACAAAAAGACAGAATTTGTAAAGAAACAAAGTAAAATATAATTGTACACGGTTTCTATAAGTCAACGGAGTCACATGTAGAAATGCGGGCCCGTTAATAATTTATGCTTGAAATAGATTTTGATCTTAAGTTTTAGAGAATATATAATCTTTAACATATGGAGATTATTAATCTGTAAAAATAAATAAATTTGAAAAACTAGAAATGATATTTTTTTAAGAAAATATTTGAACAGTTGATTTTACTTTATCTTTGGAGGACTATTATTTACACGGGACCTGGTATTGATGGACGGTGTAGATCGCCAAGCCCGCATAGTAACAAGTGTGGGCTTGGATGCACCAAACAATTTTCCAACATAATTAGAGGGCGAACTGTGTCGAAGTTTCAAATTTGAGAGAGTATAAAGGATTTTGGTGAATGTGAAGGTCTAATATCGATGATAGTTATGAAGAGGGGCTATATTACTTGAAAAAGGTTTCTATGCTTCCCCTACAGCATAGAAGTTCTATCTTCCTCCTACCATCCAGCCGTCCAAGTCATTTACCCTTTTAAATTATCTTCCATCATTCAATCTCGTTATCTCAACGTTAAATAAGTCATTTGTACTCTTATTAAATCATTCAATTTCGTTATCACAAAGAGAGGGCTCTGTTTATTTTTTGGATCCGGTTTCTATGCGGCCAAGCCCGTAGATGTAGAAATGCGGGCCTCTTAATAAATCTATTTTTGAGATGGCTTTTAAGAATTAATTTTTAAGGACATGTAATCTCTCTAACATGGAGATCATCAATATGAAAATATAAATAAAATTTAAAAACTAAAAATAATAATTATAGTAAAAAAACATTTGGACTGTTTAGTTCCCATTGTTTTTAGATGGAACACCTACTTACATCCATCTTTAAGATGGATGCTTTACACTTTCTGGACTGCATATGTAGAAATGCGGTCCAACGTACATAAAACAATTTTCCTTATGTTTTTCTTTTTTTTCGATAAAAAGAACCAAATAGCAGCACAGCAGACTGCTGGGAACCTCTTATTTAGACTTTTTTTCAACTTCAATTTCTCTTTTTAATTCTCTATCGCGAAAACTCGACGAAATAAACTCGATTTCTTTGTTTAATGTGTTATAGCTAAACCCTCTTATCAAAGGTGTTGTGTTCCTTCTTTCATCCCCCAGTGTTCAACTACTTGGGATTAACTTGGGCCCACTTAGGTGGGTGTCCACGTCAAGGATCTTTGAAAAATAAAAAAATTATAGAAAATTTATAAAATAAAAAATCTATTTGTAACATGCTTTTTTTTATGAGTTCTTGTGACAAAGATTGAAAATCATTTTAGCTATAAATACTTTTTTTACATCTTTTTTGGATTATTTTGAAAATAGCCCCAATCACAAATTGATTTTTCAAAATCCATTGCTTTAATACTTTTTTTAACCTCAGTTAGATTTGTATGGTTTAATCTTACTTTAAACATATATTTTCTATTTTTTATTTTAACATTATTTAGCTTGAATAGTACTCCGCCCAACTTGGGTCGAGTTACTTGGGCTAAGGCCAAATACTCAGTCCTGGGCTGAGCACCTAGCCCCAGTCGTTCAATCGAACACTGCTCACCCCTGTTTGTCTCATGGATTCATCACCTATATTTCCTCTTTTCTGACCATCTCAGTTTGCTTAAATTGCCATGGGCTGTATACAGGTCGGGGCACGTCATCGCTCGGTTCTTGATGATCTAATTTATGACTTAACTACACTCATACCTGTGTTGACTCCGAGTTAATGTTGGCTAGGTCTAGGCCTAAATAAAAATTTACATTTAATAAAAATAAAATATGGGTGTGATTTGTATAAAGTGGTAAGATTATTTGCAGATGTAGGATCTGCAATACACAACCCATCTTAGTTGGCGGACATATCTTTAGGCAACGTTAAAAAAGGCCCCACATAGTGCCAAATTTACACCATGCAAATTTATATGTATAATGTGGATTAAGGCAACTTTACTTTAACAAAGGATGCTGCAACTTCATATAAATTTTTTCATGAGATCATCTACAAAAAGATTATTTATGTTTTGTACATGGAGATCACAATCATTCGCAACAAAAGACTAGCTTTAAGACCCTAAATTTTAGGGTTATAACCTATTTAACATATAGATTAACCTCAATAAAAAGTTTCTCCAATTGCACCCTCTTAAGTACTTAAAAATTCATAATATCTCATGATTGAGTAGAAACTGTCCAATTTTTAGAGGGTAAAATCTACGTATTAAAAAAATGAAATTCCAAACTTAATTTTTGAGAATAATCGTTAAATGATTCTAAGGAGGTTACCAAAATTTCAGATTAAAAAAAATCTTCCCAAGTAAGTCATTTAACTGATGGAGTAGAAGTAAACAATACTCCCAAGGGAGCATAGTGTATGTGCTCTATGTGCGATCCTTTGGTGCTCGTCCTAAATCAAAAAATGCCTCCAACCAAAACTAAGCAGTAACCAAAGGCAAGGGTAGTTTCCATTGCTTTACCTTGGTGTAAGTTATCATAATTGACAGAATGGAAAATATTTAACCAATCCCTAATGCACATAGAACTATTTGAGATAAATTTCAAAAGCACAAAAGTCCTTGTTCTGTTGATCAAGCAAAGGGTGCAATTTATAAGGGGGGTTAGCGTTAAACAATCCAAGTAAGGCGCACTTCCAAACTATGCCAGAAGATGCAGTTCCGGTATTGAAAACCTTATTATGGCCTGAAAATCTATTTTCACCTCTAATTAGGACATTTGAAGTTCCAAAAATGGTGCAGATCAAACAAAGCTGAGCACTTGAGAATAATGAAAATATCAAAACTATCAAAATAGCAAATCACTTACCAACACATACAAGGGCTGAGATTTATCCTCCAAAAACGAGGTTGGAAAATAGAGAAGAATATTCAATTGTGGCACATCTAAAATCTTCAATAAGCACAACCTATAGAAACACACCTTTATAACTATATCTCCTATGGCCAAGATGAATAGAAGAGTAAACCACTCCCACTAGCTATATTTAAGGTTTTTTGTTATATCCAAAAAAGGGATCACCCCATGTCTTTCTGTCTCTCTAATCTATGGCAATAATGAGAAAACCAACAGAGATGTACATGAGGAAGACGGGGTATAGAGCAAGAGCTTTCCTTTTAGGGGCAACAGCTGCACTCATGAACGGGTAAGCTGCCCAAGAACTCCAAGCCAATGTGATCAAAACCACGATTATCTTAATTATGACATTGTCCTTAAGCATGCAGATTACGGCTCCTACATCCAGAGGGAAGAGGCAGTAACCGAGAAGGCTGAGACTCTGGAAGAAGATTATGTGCCCACCCTGTGATGATCAGAGACATGATATCTCAGGAAAATTATTCCAATTTTTTTTTTTTATTGTGGATATGTTATAAATTTGGATAAATACACTATAGTTCAATCACCATTGATCAGTGCCAATAACATGGTCCAATAACTATTGATAGATGAAATGATGGATGGTGGTGGAGAGAGAGTAGGACACAGGAGAATAGGATGTGATCCCACCACTCGCTCGATCCATCCATTGTTTCTCTATGGCCTATTGGACTAGGCATAATTTCCCATGACATGGCAGCAACTACAATGTTTACTGACACCACGAAGTTTAGTTCTGAGAAAAAGGTAGTTCGTGACTTCATGTAGACTTTAAACTCTTGTGAGAAAGCAAAAAGGCTAAGCTGCCAACCTTATATTTAGACTTATGACCCAATTCCCACATACTTATAACAGGAGCATGGCATGGTATCTATACAACAACAGAAGAAATAACGAGGTACCATTTTCATAAACTTTAATTTCTCAATGATGGGAAGCATTAGAAGAGATGTGGAGCTTACCAGGAGAAGCACGTTCAGTGTCAGAATGATGGCTCCAGCCGCAAGGACAGCAAAAGCAACAGCGAAAACTTCAGACTGCCAGAATTACACAAAGCACTTCATGAGTATCTCGTGACCGATAAAACAAAACATACACAGACAACTAAGATCAGATGCAAAAGCTGTGTTTGGAAGAAGTGCAAATCATTGGAGAAGTATATTGTCTCAATCCTACTAAAGAAGCAGGTAAACTGAGGTACAAACTTTGCCATTTAGGTTTCCAAATTTCCTCCAACAGTAAATGCAAGGGGTTCCACACAACAATCATGTAAACTTGTTGCTTCGTTCATCATATAACATTTGAGTTTTGCCACTTGTAATAAAGATATCAACAAATGCATCCATCACACAAATACGCAAATAAATAAACATGCACGCACACACGTGTGTAAATAGTATTTCCTTCACTTACACAAACAAACACACATGCACGTACACACTGTTGCATTGCAGTGTCTCCACCAAAAAAAAACGACAAAAAAAAGGGAGGACAGTCTTTTGGAGAAATTATCTTTATTAGGCTTGGATTTTTGTTTCTGTGGAGACCAACGCATCAATGGCACGTGTATGTGTGTGCATAACACCAAGCCTGATAAAGATAATTTTTCTCAATATTCCAATGCCTGTTCCTTTACCAATACCGACTGAAACCAGGTACTGTCTGGAAAGGTATGCCTGTGTAAGCCAATTGTTCATTTGAATTTACCATGAACTAATTGAATTACCTCTCAATGGTTGGTCATATTTAACATGGACAAATGTTCAGAAGAAGCAAACATCACAAAATGAATTGCTCCTTCATCAGTCTTGAATAAGAAATGTCCTTATTAACGAGGATTGAAACGAGTTCCCCAATCCCTACTTGGATCACTGAACTTTTATCTAATTTTTATTTTAAAAAAAATCGGACTTCAATAAACTGGTGAAAAAGTGGCCAGCAGATTTTAGTAGTTAGGACTGGGCAATTGTGGAGTCTATAAGAAGCTCAAAATACTGGATGGAATATTGGAAGTCCGGAACAGGATCTTTAGGGGTATTGGGAATACAAAGAGGGGTAGTTTAAAGAGAATGGTAATTTGGGCTGGTTAGCTTTCATGATCTAAGGAGGCAACCAAAGAGTTGGAGGATGAATCTAGGGTGTTCTGGTTTAAGAAGATGATCATAAAAAAGGCACCATGTAGAAAATCTATGACATTATCCCCAAAGTCATTCCACCAAGCACAAATTCATTCCAAATTCAAATAAACCTAAAACCCACAATTTTGCACATTTAGTATTAAAAAAATGACCCAAAAATACCCTCAACGAGGGGCATTTCCACCCTTGGGCGGGGCACAGGCCTGGGCGGCCGCCTAGGTGGGTTCAAGCGAGCGCCCAGGGATATCCACAGAGGCGGCGCTTTTTAAAGCACTGGATATTATGATATTATGACTTACCATATCACCAAGTCATGGGTTTAAGTACACCGAAGACAGATACCTGATGGAGCCATACCAATTCATGACTGAATTGATTCAAAGAATCCCAAGATTATTTTACAAATTGGATCCAAAGAAAGGCTATGACCATGTCAATTCAAGTTTCTTGGAGCATATGCTTGGTGGAATGAATTTGGGGATATTGGCTTGTAAGTCCACAGTCTCTTGCCAAATTATGATTCATGGAGTACCTAAAGGCTACTTTAAAAGCATAAGAAGCTCAAAAGTAGAAGTTCTGTTACTTTATTGTTACCAGAAAGGCGCCGGATTGAGGGGGGCTTCCCAGGCAGCAGTATATGGTCTCTAATTGTTTACACACGGATTGAGGGCTTCCCAGGCAGCAGTATATGGTCTCTAATTGTTTACACACGAGCTCTCCGATTGATCGAAGCATAGTTACCGGGATCTCCTATCTAAGGTGGCGCTCTTACTCCTGCAACACAATTCCGTGGTTCTGGTGCCAAAACTCGTTTCTAATTTGTTCACACTCTTTCATGGTAGGTAATGAATTCCAAGATGGAAGGTAGAAGAAAAGAGCGCAATATTTTTCCAGGCGGGAAATTAATCCCGAGCACAAATCAAGAGGCAGATAAAGAAAGTTAAGATTCAGGTTTGATAGATGGCATGTGGAGTATTCCTAGAATTAAAGCAATGAAGCAGGATCATAAATGTAGATGGCGGTATACTACTAGGAGAGATGGCCATGGAGCACTAGTTGGATTTGAACATTGAAAGGATGTATACGACAAAATATTCATAATGCCTATGAATCAATTTCATTAGTAGGAAATTATCAGCATGCTGTTTATTTTCCTAATCCCTTGGGCATGGAATGGAAGCCTGCACCAGGTTGTCAAAGATTCATCAAAGAGTGAAGCCACGACAACTTGTGGAATGGGTGCCTCCCCCAGAGGAGTATTCTGACAAACATCACACTGCTCCAAAGGAAACTGGGGCCCATTGGGTTTTGGACGCATGATAAGGATGGTCCAAGACCATGATAAATTAAAGGCTTATGTGGAATCATTTGTCATTTACTCCACATAGGACAACACAGCCGTAACAGATAGTGAAGGATTTAGGTCAACAGATGTTAAGCTTAATGTCATCCGTGGAAAGTGAGGAATGGGGGGAGAACTTCTATGGGAAATCGAGGATTTGTGCTCACAACTTTTTTATTATGGGCATTATGTTTTCTTTTTTTTTAGAAAAATTTATTGAAGACAATATTAGTATAGTAATGTAGGAAAAAACTTCATAATATTCAAGTATTTTATTTGATCGAAGTCACTAAAGTTATGAACTGATTAATAGACACACTATGATCAATTCCCTACTTTGAGGCTTTATTTTTTACTCGATACCCATAACACCTGGTTCTGGTCCAAACTGAAGAATCAAACTGTTGTCTAGTTTTTGTGACAAAAGAGAGCTCGTATATGCAGCCAAGAAACCTGGTTTGCTTTTAAAAACTTTAATTCATAAAAGAACTCAATCCATACAAAATTTCTAAGTGGTCAAGGACAAGTGAATCGCCTCAAGAAAAGATTACAACAGCAATGAGAAATTGCACACAAAAGAAAATCATTGACATCAAAGATTAAAAAGAATATACAAAAAAGAATATTGACATAAATGGAATTCCATCATAAGTTCAAATAATTTTCTATGAAAGATAAGAGAACTTCTAGATTAATCTTAAACTCATTCAAAACTTCTTTGCCAATTTTTTGGTTTATTTCCAGCAGAATATGTATGATCATACCAGTTTCAGAGGAAATTACAAGGTACAACATGGGCATTTACTAATTCTAGTAGCATTACTACACAAAACGAGAAAAGGAAAATGAAAAGAAACATTTTAATGTCATGAAAAAACATACATTAAATAAATCCTGATTGCAATGAAGAAAAGTAAGAGAGAAGTATGAATTGCACATCCTTCCAAATCAATCAGACAGCTCAGTTTGGACCTAATAAACTTTAAATTCATTACAAGACATAGTGATCAAAAGAAAACTGTCATACCTAATCTACACTGCAGGTTATTAAATCACAGCCAGCAAACCAACACTTTTTTTTTTCCAGGTCATGTGTTGGGATTCGAACCTAAGGCCGCTGTGTAGCAGCCTCTAAACCCCAATTGCTAAACAAAGAGGTTGAACCCAGACAAACCATAAGATTAAGATTGCGAAATGAGATTAAAATGAAATCAGCTGACACATCGCCCAAATCATTGGCACATAGCAATATAGCTTTTCTTTTGTGGTACATAGCAATATGGATGTTCTAGTACTACTTTTAGACATTCTAGAGCTTCTTTGGAACTAGAATACCGGAACTCTAAAGCTCATTCTAGAACAGAACATGTTTCTAAAAGGCAAATCACCAGAGCATTAGGTAATCCAAGTAATTATAGGAAGCCAACTGTCAAGGAACATAAGGTATGGGCACAACTTGAAACAACCTTGTAGATGTAGGTGGCAATTCATAGTTACAGACATATAATGATGCCATTTGGAGCCCAGCCTATGAAGGGCGAAGGGACCCAATTGGTTTAGTAATAATCATGACAAATGACCCATAGGAAGATAAAAGAACATATTATAAAAAGAAGTAGAAAACAATCAACTCCATAAAAACAAGGGATTGTACACAATGAGACCATTTACCTTCGGTACAAGCAGGTCACGATTACTTATAACCATCCGATGTGAAATTTCATTTCATAGCTTGAGTGTGTCACAAAGTTCGAGAAAATTTCTTTTGAACTTTGAAATTGGTCAATGCAATAAATGCAGCCACCCAATTTCACAACCAATGGTCAGGATTAATCGTGACCACCTCGCACCAAAAGTAAGTAGTCTCATTATATACTTTCCCTAAAAATAATCCATATCACATTTTCAAATATATATTTTTTTCCAAGGCAATTCATTCATATTTTGATAAATATAAATCATAAGATCATCATCCTCAAAGCCTTCTCCCAAACTATTTGGAGAAGGCTATACATATCCTGGTCTGCCATTCTGTTATCAAGGGCTATACCCTCAGTGAGGCCATATCATGAATATTTTTGGAAAAGTTTTACGTTGGCTGCCTACCTAACACAACCCACCTCCTTTACCCGGGCTTAGGACAAGTTTAGGGAAACTTTAAGGCCCTTACCCTTCATAGACTAAAATATAAATTAGAAGATGAAACACATAATATATAGCATGAATTATAAATGGTAACTTAGTACTTCACAGCTACAAAATGCTTAAGGATCTAGAATGACAAACTGATGTGTAACTACCAAGTAATTTAAGCAATTGAACATCAATATATGTTGGTCCAAATTGCTGAAAATTTTTCAAATAGCAAAAGAAAACCCTAAAACATTACTTGAACAGAAAGAGGAAAAAGAAAAGTTTACAGAAAACAGTTTTTGTTTGAGAGTCATACTACAAGTATGCCACTCTGGATATAATGGCTATCCATGAAACACCCTCCAATACATGCGTGGCACCATCTCATTCCGGATTTGCAAAGTTATTTCTCCGAAGTAAATAATCTTTATATTTAGTGATACGAGTCAATTTCATTAAAGATAAGCTACAAGAGCATATCATCTTAGATTACATTCATGTTTACCATACAATCCATGGATATTCATCTGAATCATGAAAATACAACCAAGCTTAAGTGCGTAACTAGATTGAGGGAACTCATGATCATATATTTCCTAAAGTTGGAGGTCAAACATGCACGAATGCATGAACGCGCACACACATGCAGGCATGCACACACACCCCTCCCATACCAAGACTTCAGGAAATACATCTTATAAGAAGAATGTGCATCAATTACTAAAATCATAATATACAACAAATCCCCTCCCTCAGATTGTATCCATCTATGGAATAATATAACATATATATATATATATATATAGGAAAATGATCCTGTGAGCCAGTTGGCTCACAAGAAAAAATGAGCCCAACAGCCCAAATTGAATCTAGACCGATCTGACGATCACGGATGTCTGGTAATGTTTGAATTTTAATTTTTTTTTCTACAAATCCAAGTCACTTGAAATTTTAGGCGTGTGTTCTTCTCATCATGCCTCACCTAATAAAAATATATAAAAATAATAATCCGCAAAAAATAAATTGATCAAAATACCCCTGAAACTCTACGGGGGTATTTTGGTCAATTTTTTTCAATGTAAAATATTTTTTTGATATTTTTAAAGATTCATCTATTTTTGATGAACACATGACCTAAAATTTCAAATGATTTGGATTTGTAGAAAAAAAATTTAAAATCCAAGCACTATCGGGCAGGGCATCAGTGATCGTCAAATCGCCCCAGATTCAATCTGGGCCGTTGGGGCTCATTTTTACTTGTGAGCCCACTGGCTCACATGATCATTTTTCATATATATATATAGCAATGATCCAATGCAACGATTGTATCATAATATAATGCAACGACACTTTCAGAAAACCATGTTTGTAGTAATTGTATGACCTCAAATTTTGTACACTCTCTTTATCTCAATAATCAATCCCCAAAGAAAAAAAAGTTCAATTTGAACTCTAGATATAGTCGAAATGAGTCCCCTCCATAAACGGATTTAGACCATTCATTTTGTGAATTTCAAGATCTTAGCCTCTATAAACTTAAAATCATTTATTTCTTTTTTAACATTGTTTATCTAATGGTAATAAAGACATCCAAAAAAATTGAAAATGAAAAAAATCCTTCAAAAGGCTTAGTTCTAAGCATCTTACCAAAATGAACGGCCTATGTTACTTGGGCTAAGAAAATACTTTCTAGGTTGTGTTTTCAATTTTTTCTTTTTTTTGTGATTGTTCATTAGATTGAAAAAAGTGTATATGTTAAAATT